GTGACAGCTGTTATAGCAGCATGCACTTTAAAAAATACCATCAAAATTGTGAATTTCTGTGTAGCCATTTTAGTATTACAGATGGAAAAACACACATTTTCAGCACATTATGCTTTATTATTTCAAGAAAGGCAAAAACTCAACTGAAAAGCAAAAAAAGATTTGTGTAGTGTATGGAGAAGGTGCCGTAACTGATCGATCATGTCAAAAGAGGTTTGTGAAGTTTCTTGGTACTATTGACATTTTGGCCAAATAATTCTTTGCTGTGGGGCTGTCTTATGCATTGGAAGATGTTTAGCAGCACCCCTGGCCTCTACCCACTAGAAGCCAATAGCAGGAGATACCTGACAGACTCAAAATATCCAAAACAATAAAATTATTGGTGAAAATAAAAAACGTGTCTTTTATTTTATGCAAAAAAAAATGTACCAAACTTGGCCAATCCAACATTAAAACATACAAACAAAGTGGTCACAAATGATGGTGGAATGGAAAGAATTAAAGACAAACATTATACTTCCCAGTTTTTTCTCAGGCCATTCTTGGCTAGAGAAATTAAGGGGTAGGATTAGAGTTAGGGGAAGGTTTAGAGTTTGAGTTACAGTTCTCACTGGATTATAGCATTTTAAATATAACCAAAGACACTCAAATAGAGAACAGGCTGACAGTGACCAGAGGGGAAAGGAAGGGAATTTCAGGGGAAAAGGGGAAGGATTTATAGAAACTAGTATAAAGGACACATGGACAAAAACTAAGGAGGGTGGAAATGGGAGGGAGGTGGGGAGCACTGAGGGGTGGGCTGGGATGGGAGTAAAAGACAGAAAACTGTAATTGAACAACAATTAAATAAATAAATGAACAGACAGATAAATAAATAAAACAAAACAAAAAAAGAAGTTACTTTTTTCTCTTAGACAATTATAAAACAAACATGATGATTATAAGAACACATAAAATGGTTTTGTATCAAGCACTCTACAAGATATGTTTTATATAAATATCTTTAGATATAGAGATAATATATATTTACACACAATCACAGTACATTAGTCCATACAACAACTCAATTGTTCTTACTTTACAGGGGAAAAAACTAAGGCACAGAAGGGTCAAGTAAGATGAGCAAGATCATGAAGCTTATAAGTGGCTGTGCCAAGCTTTCAGCCAAGACTGAATGGTCCTTAGGCCTTTTTTTCCATACATATATATTTTCCCCAGAGTTATATGGAAAATTTATATATATAAAATTTGGTTTTAGAGAGGGGAAGGAAAGGAGAAAGAGAAGAAGAAAAACATCCATGTGAAAAAGGTGGATCAATCGCCTCTCATACCCGCCCTGACCAGGGCTGAACCAACAACCTAGGTGTGCACCCTAACCAGGAATCTTTCACTTTGCGGGACAATGCCCAACAAATGGAGCCATACCCTGGGCCTTTAACAGCTACACTGAAGCTCAGTTTACATACATGAAATGTATCCATCTTAATGTACAATTCTATGAGTTTTGACAAGTTTATAGAGGTGTGCAATCATGACTGTAATCCAGTTGAGAACATTTTCAGCAGTCCAAAAAGATCCCTCATGCCTTTATAGTCAACCCCATCTAAACCCCGCTCCAGGAAACTACAAATCTGCTTTTATCTGTAGGTGTCTTTTCTGGGCTTTTCATAGAAACAATATCATACAATATAGTGTCTTTTGTACTAGACTTGCTCAATTAGCATAAGGTTTTTGAGGTTCATCTATACTGTAGCATTTATTAGATCATTTACTTTATTCCTTAACAGTATCTATTATATAAATACACTGTATTGTTTATCAACTCATCAGTTAATAGACATTTTGATTGTTTTCATTTTGAAGCTATTAGAAATAATGCTGCTATTAACATCTGCATACAGTTTTCTGCAGTGATAGATTTTTTATTTTCTTGGGTAAATACCTAGGATCAGAATTCTTAGTTTAAGTGGAAAATTTTGGGGTAAGTGTATAACGTTTTGAGAAATGTAAAACTTTTCCAAAGTGGCTGAAGGCTCTGGTTTTTCGACATCTTCACCAACACTTACTAGAGTTCCAGATCTCCATCACTACCCTCTACACTATAGACTTTCATTGACCATACAGATATGTCACTGAAGGTTGAAATTGGAGGGAGGGAGGAGGTAAGTGAATGGAGAAATGACAGAGATCCAAGTGTCTTTCATTTCCATTGTTTTAAAATTTTTTAAAGATTTTTTTAGAGCAGTTTTCATTTATAAAAATGTAAAGAACATACAGATATTTTCCATATAACCTCTGCCCACACAGTACAGCCTTCCCCATTTACCAACATCCTCCACCAGGAAGGTACATTTGTTACAAGCGATGAGTCTACATCGTCACTTTATCATCACCCAAAGTCCACAGTTTACATTAGGGGTCACTCTTGGTGTGGTGCATAGTATTGGTATGGACAAAGGAAAAATAACATTTATCTATTATTGTATCATATATAGTAGTTTCAGTATCCTAAAAATCCTGTGCTCTGCCCACTTATCCCTCCTTAATTGCTGATGACCACTGAACTTTTAACTATCTCCAGTTTCCCCTTTTCCAGAATGCCATGATGGGAGTCATAGACTATGAAGTCTTTTCAGATTGGCTTTGTTCAATTAGTAATACGCATCTTAAGTTTTTCTTCTATGACTTTTCATGGACTATTTCATTTTAGCAATAAATAATGTAACATCGTTTGGATGTACCACAGATTATTTATCCACTTAGCTAGTATTAGTTGCTTTCAAGTTTTGACATTATAAACAAAGCTTCTCTAAATATCCATGTACAAATTTTTGTGTGGACATGAGTTTCAACTCATTTGGGTAAATATTAAAGAGTATGATTAATAAATTCTATGTTAGTATATTTAATAAGAGTATGTTTAGTTTTGTAAGAAACTGCCAAACTGCATTTTATGAATAAAGACAGTTTTACTTCTTCCTTCTCAGTCAATATACCTTTTGTTTCCTTTTCTTGTCTTATTGCACTAGCTAGGATTTGCAGTACGATGTTAAAACAGAATGGTGGGAGGAACATCCTTACCTTGTTCCTGATCTTATTGGGGAAGCTTCGAGTTTCCTACCATTAAGCATGATGTTAGCTATAGAATGTGTGTGTGTGTACACACACATCTATGCATATGTACATCTATGCATATGAATACACACACACATACATACATACATATAATATATATCTCAAGTTGAAGAAGTTCCCCCTTATTCCTCATTTACTAAGGATTTTTTAATATTGTGAATGAGTGTTAGATTTTGTCAAATGCTTTTACTGCAATGTGGTATGATCATGTGATTTTTCTTTTTTACTTTGTTGATGTGATGGATTACACTGATAGATTTGTAAATGTTGAAACCAGCCTTGCACACCTGGGTTAAATCCCTGGGTTAATACACATATCAGCTTTTCATCTTGCAGTGGAAATATTTTTTACAAGGATTTTATGCTGTTTTGATGGTTGATGCTTTCACATTCTGATGTCTGCATTGATGAGAAAGGGAAGAGTGCATAGGACCATACTGACAGGAAAATAAAAAACTAGAGAATGGGAAGAGTTTGTTACCGAGGCTTAACTGGAAAATGTCATAAGAGTATGAGTCCATTATTCTTAAACTTAATGTTTTGGCCCAGTTTTTATGCTATGAGAATGTGAGGTATAAATGTTTTAGCACTAGAGATTTCAAATCTGTGTTTTTAACACTCACATTCCATATGATCCATTTTTTCCCACTTCTAGGTATTTTCCCTAGAAAAATGAGAGCACATGTCCATTCAAAGATATGTACATGGATGTTCACATCAGCTTCAGTTGTGGTAACCCCAAAGAGAAAACAATCCCAATGTCTATCAACATCTAAATGGATAAGCTGTGGTATACTCATGTGATACAATCCCATTCAGCAATAAAAAGGAATAAATTATTGATATGCATGAAAACATGAGTGAATCACAAAAGAGTGGAGAGACTGTACAATTCCATTATATACAATTCTAAGAAATACTAATCAAAATATAATTTCAGAAAGCAAATCAGTGGTTGACTGGACAGGGGAAGAGAGTGGAAGGAGGAAGGGACTAACAAGAGGTATGAGAAAAGGTAGGGGTGATAGACAAATTCATTACTTTGGGGTGATGGTTTCACAGGTGTATACATATGTCAACACAATAAAGTATGCGTATATTATGTACAAAACATTTAAAAATATTTTTTATATTCCTTTAAAAATGAGTAGTCATTAAAAGCAACAAAGCAAATCTTTGCAGTTATTATATATTGTATTTGTAAATCTTATGAAGATCAAATTTTACCTCTGTTTATATTTTCCACAATGGGAAGATATAAAATGAAAAGAAATTGAAAATGTATTCTACTATATGTTTCATGTTATCCTTGTTTGTTGGCAAAAATTGTTAATCAAAAAGCCTGGAGGTGCTAAAAGTCATAAGATACACAAAGACAAACTCCAAGACATTTGTTTTTTCTTTGTCCACACATAAAATTATTTCACAGTTCATAAGTGACCAAAAGCACTTTGGGATTATTATATGCCATCAAATAAGTATGTGTGGTAATGTATAATACTTAGAAAATAATACATAATGAACTATGTATACAATAGTACTATGTCATTGTTATAAAATCAAACAAGGTAGGCTATTTTTCTGAACAGCCTTTTTCACATATTATATAAACTAAATTCCATGTGTAAGTGCACAATAATAAGTTATTTTCTCTTTTATAGAAGGTTGGTTGACATTTTCTAAAAATAGCAAATTATTATAGACTATAAAAATATCCAGAATGTGTACAAGTTCTTTGTCATTAAGAAAATGTTAAATAACATCCTTGGAAACTTTACAAGGAGAAATCAAAGAGATTGAACATATAAAAGTGATGAGGAACAATACTGAAATGTCACTGAAAAAAAGCTCTGCATTGAGATTACCTGGAATCAATTCCATAATGATATAGATGGGCTGTCTTTGCGTGCAGACTCCGATAAGCTTGACAATGTTGGGATGATCGTATTGCTTGAGAATTCTGTATGAGAAAAAGTGTAAGAATAATTATTTAAATAATAAAGCATTAATTTATGATCATAAAGAGTGTATGCAAGTAGCCCTGGCTGGTGTAGCTCAGTGGATTGAGCGTGGGCCTGCGAACCAAACAACCGCAGTTCAATTCCCAGTCAGGATACATGCCTGGGTTGCAGGCCAGTTCCTCGCAGAGGACATTGTGAAAGGCAACTTCACATTGATGCTTCTCTTTCTCCTTCCCCTCCCCAATAAAGATAAATAAATAAATACATACATACATACAGACATAAAAGTGTACGCAAGTAAAACACTTCAACTTATATAATTCAATTTATTCCTTTTTTATTGTTCAATTTTTAAAACTTCAATATGAACCCAATTACAATAAATGGGATATATGCAAATTTTGATAAATATTGGAAAGCTATAGGTACAAATGAGTCAAGTATACTTAATTCAATTAAATATTCATTTAAAAACTATTATCCATTCTGAATGACTAACAAGCTAAATAGGAATAATTTACTTATTTCAAAACATATGGAACTCCCTAAACCATAGCTGAAAAGTATTAGTGAACTCAAAACTGCAAGCTGCAAGGGTAGCACCTTTTTGTTTTATTTTGCTTTCTGTAAGCACTTGATTTTAAATATATAAAAAATAAGAATCCAATTCACAGTAATACTATATGGCAATCCCTTCATTAGATTTTGTAGTAAGTGCTTTCTTGATGATCACAATCAATTTCAAAATAGTAAACACTCAAAAGTTTTGAGGAAGCTGGCAAAAGGTTAACCAATAGCTGAGTCACAGAGTTGCAGTATCAAACTGAAGCAGGAAGACTTAGTTTGGAAAAGGTAGAATTTCAGAGGGCTATGAAATAGCACAGACTCATCCTTAGGACTCTAAGCTTGAGTTACAAGATTAGATTCCCTCAGAGGCCTGTCTACCCTGATGATTTCTATTACCGAATTTTAAACCACATTATACTGTTGACATAGTTACAAGTTCTCTCAATATTTGAAAGATGCAGTTTTCCTTCTTAAAAGAATTTAAAAAATAATTTTATTTGATGAAAGAAAAAATAGTTTATATACATTTTGTACATGGACAACTAAATCAGATAGCTCTAAGAAAAATGTTTTATATTGAAAATACAGAATGATTTATAAATGAAAAGATGTATGGGGAAGAATTCTCGAGGTGAGGGAAATATCCTGACAATAACTGAATTAGTAATTTCTACAAAGAATTAAAAAGAAGTTTTAGAATGTCTGACTTTAATCCAAAATACCATTTCTGAGGTTGGAAACTGCTTAGTAAAGAAATTCCATAAAACAGCCATCCTGAACTCCATTAATATTAAATATCTCAATATATAGCTCTATCATCTATTAAAAGACACAAGAGTTTTGCATGGACATAATTTTCATTCTTAAAACAAAATTATCTGACTTTAGAAGAAGAAAATAAACTCTATTTTGCAATAAAGCAATCACATTAGAAAGCAAAAAATTAAATATTTTTGAAAATGTTGTATATTACTTGTGCCATAAGAATACCTGTGAATATCTATAAAATAATAGACCTATGAATTTCAATTGTAATAGCACATCTTTAAATTGATCAAAGTTTATTTTTCTGAGTTGCCAATAATATACATAAAACAAGTTTTCAACTATATTCTACAGATATTTAATAAATGCATCAAACTAGTTTATTCTATTTCCATCAATAGTCGTTTTTAGATAAGTGGAGAAATACACATTAAAATGCTCCATGTCATGATACTCAGTTCTCTCATCTCCATGTCCTGTCACTATCATGTCCTCTGTTCTCCATGATACTCTAAGAAGACTTCCAATTTTGTGTTCTAGGTGATCATGGAGACACACGTCCCCCCATACAGACACTCCTGACCCTCTCTCCCTTCATGCCAACAACCTATAGATTCATGTATTCTCCTCCTCTCCCATCCATCCATCCATCCACCCACCCACCCATCCCCATCCCCCTATCCCCCAACCATGTCTGTCCTCACTCTGACCAAAGCATCTTTCAATTTGGTTTGTGTTTAGTTGTATAAACCAGATGTTACCATTAACAGAATAGTTTTAGCTGTATGCAATACAGGGGTAGCAATTTTGGAACATTACATTTTCGCTAGTAATAAGAAATAGAAGACAATCCTCCAAGATCAATTAGAAAACAAAACAGTATGTAAATTTTGGAACAAATGCCAGACACTAAATTAAAGAAGACATTCGGTTCTTAAAAAAGAAAACTAACAGATGAGAAAAAAGAATAGAGTGATAATATCTGAGTAAGGCAGAAGAAATGAAATTATATATCTAAATATTTATAAACTATATATTTACATATATAGAATAAGTAATATTTTAATTATAAGGAAAACCACAACTTTGCATATATACATATATATGTACACACATGTGTGATAAAAGCAAACACTGCAATAGTTTTTAAAAACATAAAGAATACTCGCTGTTTTTAAGCATCAAGTTCTTTTGACAATAGTTGGCTAACTGGTGTATAGTTTAACTCAAGAACAGAAACTTTGTTTCCACATAGTATTAAATGCTATTTACGAGGATTCTGAAAGTGCTTATTCATACCTCAGAAAATTGTAATTTCCAAATTTACATTTTAGTGAATTGCTTATATTATAAATACATATTTTACATAACTTTAAAGAACTCACTTGGCTTCTTGTAAAAATTTTATTTTCAGTTCCTGAGGAAGATCTTCTTTACATGTTTTAACAGCAACAGCAGTTTTATCCTTTAATACGCCCTTAAATACTTCACCAAAATTTCCCTGAAAATACAAATACATTTATTGGTTGAGATGTAAGACAGCCACATAAATCTTCACAAAATACAAGAAAGGCATGTAATGATGCACTTTGAATTAATCCAAGTACTCTGTTAGCATTATCCAGAGTTCAAAGTGGAAATAAAGATCAGGACTGTCACTCTTACCAACCTCCCAATTTTAAATTTGCTACCCAACATAACAAACATTCAGAAGATTGAGGCTGGACGACGACTGAGAAGGAAAATGGGGAAAAATTAAAAAAATATGACAAAAGGAGAAACTCAAATTGACACTATCAGAGTAACATAAGTTTGATTCAGTGTAGTCCCATTATCTGCATTTTATTAATGTAAAATTTTATCCATTAATGTTTATGATAAAGCAGAGATTCTGTGGTGTGACTGTGGATGCTGAGTCATGCGGTCCTATCAGCTGGGGAAGAGTGAGAGAGAGAAGAGGGAGTGGCAACAGAACCTAGGCATATGAAGGACTGGCAACAGCCCTTGTTGTAGGTTGTCATTCTCTAAGGGAAGGTACCAAGGAAGACAAGGTTCTTACCCAAATGCCCATGTCACCTGTGATGAGGTCATTTCTATGACAAGGTTGTGAACTCCTAACCTTATTCTATGGCTAAACTGTATTTTGACTTAAAATGCCGCATTTCTAAAGTCATTTTTCCTTTTATTACAAACATAAAACATTATAGAGATGACTTACAAGGCTAACACAACAAATATTTTTTAGTATTCCCTTCAAGCTTTTCTATGTATGCTTGTATATTTTTATAAAGCTATAATTATAATACGCAAGCATTATATTATAACATGATTCCATGCTATTGTTGTTGAACAAGAAGTAGCTGAAGTAGGAGTCTGCTTGTTACTGAGTTTTTGAAGTACTACGATCAATGTAATGCTTAATGATAGTTCAAGGAATGTAAATTTTTACATGTTGATAATAAATAAAATTATTAAAAGTCAAAATATTTTTGAATGTTTTAAATATTAAATATTTTACTTAATTATTAAATTTTCATTTTACTTAGGTAAAGTATACTTAAATATCTAAGTAATAAATAGTATTATTATTTTTTAATTATTGTTCAAGTACAGTTTTCTTTTACTCCCAGCCCAGCCCAGCACCTCCCCCGCCCCCCTGCCGGGTGCTCTCCACTGCCCTCCCATTTCCATCCCCCTTAGTTATTGTCCATGTGTCCTTTATACTAGTTCCTGTAAATCCTTCCCCTTTTTCCTGTGAATTCCCTCCCCTCTCCCCTCTGGTCGTTGTCCCCCTGTTCTCTATTTCAGTGTCTTTGTTTTTATTTTGCTTGCTTGTTTGTTTTTGTTGTTTAGCTTCCTGTTAAAGGTGAGATCATATGGTATTTGTCTTTCAACACCTGGCTTATTTCACTCAACATAATGCTTTCCAGTTCCATCCATGCTGTTGCAAAGGGTAGGATCTAATATTCAATTCAAATATTTATTTAAAAAACAAGGTTATGACAAGGTCGCATATCCTAACGTCAAGTTTCTAGTGATTCCAAGATACATGCTATGCCTTTTCTATGTTTTTATCTTCCATGGGAACCATCCCCCAACCCCAATCAGAAAAAATGCTAAGATTACTTAGCATTTTTTAAGTTCATTTAAGTTCACTTTAAGTTCATTTCTTAAGCCCTTAAGACTCTTTTCGATCTTCCCCAAATCACGTATCCCATAACTGAACACTGACCAACCCTTCATACTTTTCTAATGGTTTGTGCCCTAGGAAACAGGTCTTGGCTTTATTAGTAAGCATTCAAAAATTTTAAACACAACTCAAAGGATTTGATAGATTTCTCAACTCTATCAACAGTGGTCATGGGGGGAATCTCCAAACACTGAGAAAAAGACTAGGCTTCCCAGAACACCTGTTCTCTATCCAAAAGCAGTCAGAAGGAGCCTAGGACACCTATCACTCCCTACCATTTAACAGGCACAGCTTCATGGCTGCTACTGACCTTAAGTCCATGAGGCTAAATATAATGTCTATTTTTATGTCATTCCTCACAAGAGGTGCTTGGTCCTAGGGGGTAGATTTTATGCTGTTTTTCACACTGCATTATGAAATAATGAAACTAAACTGAATTCAAAATTTCAAATGGAAACATGACGAATTAAGTCATTGACAAGGAAGTTAATATTTACCCATTGCAACTCAATTATAAAAATAATAAATTTGCAAATAGTCCACTTGATTATCAAATATCTGCCATTATTGTTAGACATAATTTATTTTCATATAGCCTATGAATTGGAAGAAACTTGAAACTTATCGGAAGAAAGGGACTCTCAGCATATATATTTGTCTTTTCCAACAACCAATAGAGCTAGCTACATATGAATGTTTACACTGCCATGTGTCTTGTCCATATCATTTTTATAAAAATAATATGCCTAATGTTGTTACATATTGTGATTCTATACACAATTTTTAAAATCCCAAGAGCAGTATTTTACATTTTCAAACTATCATATGTAGCCAGAAACAAATAGAACAGGACCAGTACGTGTTTATTTAAACTTTTATTACCTCACAGTTTCCTTTTAAATCTCAGCTCACTAGTTTTGGCTTTCTACACTGCAATAATATAATTATGGCTTTTAATTTAGAGGAAAACACACAACACTATTTTTTTTAAATTCAAAAACCATCCTTAAATCTTTCAAAGGTTTTCACACATCTATTTCAGTGAACATCCTAGTATCTGTAACAGATGTGGTATCGTGTTCCTCTAGGTTAATGTGGGAATGTACCTTGTTGGCTGCTGGAATGTAAGAAGGATTTGAAGAAAATGAACAATCTACAGAGTTCACAATCACTGTGAAGACTTTTAGTAATTTAGCTCAGTTGATTACATACCTTGCCCAGTAATTCTCCCAATGTGACATCTTCATGATTGAGGACCCACTTCTTATCCTGTGGCAAAGAAAAGGAACAATTTTTTAGCCTAAGTAAATTCCCTGTAAGATGTACTTAAGGAAGTGGGAAATAGACCTGAGGGGATATTTCATTCAAACCATTCAATCTACAGCACACTAAGAAGTTGTAACCTCAAGAGGCTATAAAACAGATTTAAAAATATTACTACACAATAGGACTTTAAAATCTACATTATACCAACTTCTATCAGAAATTTCAGCTGTCAAAATGATGGTGTCCCCATAACTAGAACATTGCATGCACTTTTCTCTCCCCATGAAGTATAGGCTATGCTATTATTTGTCATTTTAAAAGTTTTGTACCTTAAGTACATGAGAGAATTTCATTTTATAATGCAAAATTTCCAGTTCTCCCTTGGTCATAGAGAATTCTTTTTGCACCCAGACCACATTACTAAGAACTAATTTTTCCATGTATAAACTGGCCATGCATTATCGCTGTTTATGGCACTGCATGTAGTCTCAATCTTTTCTAAGTAATTTCCTACAGTGTAATAAAGAAGCAAAACTACGGTACATGAGACCACTGATGCAAAGATGCCATTATAAAACAGCATCCTATTATCTGACTTCAAGAACTAATTACTACTAAGGGAATAGTTTATCACCTAAAAATCTCAGCTATTAAACACATAAATAGTAATGTTATAAAGGCATACAGTTTTTTTTTCTTTTAAAGGAAAAAGGAATGAAGCAAGGAATAAGGAGAGATTGTGGGGAAAAGGAGGGAAGGCAAAACAGAAGTATGCAGGGAAGAGACAGGGAGAAGGAAAAGAAAACGCTGGAGTAATATATTTTACTCAGGATTTGTTTTTAATTAGTGTTAAAATACAGGATTTCCCCATTACACATGTCCAAATATAATTATGATCTATAAAATAAAATACGGCAAGTAAACAAACACCTTGAAGTGAAAAGCCACCTAACTACAGCGTAACATGTCCTGGACAGCCGTTTGAAGTACTTTCAGAAACACCATAGGACACTCAAACACCATCCTCTGTTAGATCAAAAAAGGGAACAACTCTGATTTTAAAAATGACAGTTTACATGTATAGGCTTTAAATCTGAATGCAGAGTTAGAGCTATAAAGGTCCTGAAATAAAACATAGAATATTTTCATAACCAAGTGAGTAGACAAAGATTTTAGACAGATACACATAAAGTCCTAACAAAAAAACCCTCAAATAATTGAAATTTATCAAAATTACAAACACTTGTTCTTCAAAGGCATCACTTTTAAAAAATGAGAAGGCAAACTACAATCTGAGAGAACATTTCTGCAAAGCATATATCTGATAATTTGTATGTAAGCAATATATAGAACTCATACCTCAATAACAAGACAATAACTTAAGAATTTGGATAAAAAACTTAAGAAGATGTGCAAATAGACAATAAGCACATCAAAAATGTTTATCATCATTAGTCCTCAGTGATATACAAATATGAACCACAATTAGATGCTATTCCACACTTACTAGAATACTAAAGTTAGAAAGGTTAACAACACAAGATTGGAAGGATGAGGAAAAACTGGACTCCTCATACACTGTTAGTGAGTATGTACATAATACAAGCCATTTGAATAACAATTTGGTAGTTTCTTATACAGTTAAATACACATCTACTTAATGACTCAGAAATTAACACTCCTAGGTATAAGCCCAAGAGAAATGAAAACATATCTACCAAAAATGTAGGCAGCTGTATTTATAATAACCAAAAACTAGAAACAATCCAACGTTCAGCAAAAGGAAAACTGATAAACAAATCTTGGTACATTTAGATAATTATTATTCAGCAATAAATAAGAGTTTACAACGGATGAGTATAAGAGCAGATTTTTGCAAAAATATTCTGCAGAGCTAACAAGTACTGATACACTCTATATACATGCATATATACACTCATAATGAGTCCATTTATGTAAGTTTCTAGAGATGGACAATTAATCTATAACACTAGAAATCATGGCAGTGTTTGCCTGAGGCAGGGGTTGAAGGCTGGCTACAAAGGGCAAAGAAGAAACTTTGTGGGTTACAAAAATGTTTAATTTTTTGGTATTTCACTGATTGATACTTTTAAAACATGCATTTTATCATATGTAAACTATATAAAAATAAAGCTGATTTAAAAAAATAAGCAAGTATAAAAAATGCTACTTTCCATTTGAGTAGCACTTTGGGGGTTAACTTCACCTCCACGTATTATCAAAAGCTACTTTTCAAAGAATAGAGACTGGCAGGCAAGAAAGTTCTTATTTTAAAATTGAAAAACTGATTTGTTCAGAGCAAACAACTGAAACAGAGCTCTAAAAGAGTGAAGAACTAAAAAGCTATGGTTAGATGAAGAAAAGCCAAGTAAGTCTTTTGGGGCTACTTTTACCTTAGGTATTCTGATGGTGGAAGCAGAAGCCAATACGCAAAAGAAAAAAAAAGCAAAAACAAAAATTAGAATTTTGGCTGTGCCAAGGAGAATAGGCTCTGATCAAATATGCCAGACTTTTAACAAGGACCTTAAAGACACCGCACTGTGGTAAAAAAGGCAACCTGAAAATGGAAGGAATTAAAACCTACTTTCTAGTCATGTCCATCAGTGGTAAGACTGAATCAGGGAGTGGCAAACTAAGCTGAGGCCAAATTGGCTCACTGCCTTTGTATGGACCATGACCTAAGAATGCTTTTTGCATTTTTAAATGGTTAAAAAAGAAAAATTTGTGACACATGTTAATTATATAAAATTTCAGTAGTCAATAAAAATTATCCACTGTAAGCCACAGAGGGAAAAGAAGTGGAAAAAATGAACAGTTTCAAGGGCTGTGGGACAATACCAATAGGTCAAACATTCACATCAAAGTCAGAAAATAAAGAGGACGACAGCGCTGAAAAACATTTGAAGCCATACTAACCCCAACTCACTAAACCAAAGACAAAGAAAAAATCTTTAAAGCAGCTACAGGAAATGACCCACTACTTATAGTGAACAATAATCAGAATGACTGGAGATTTATTAATAGAAACCAGGAGGCCAAGACCAATTGGAACAACATTTTTAAAGTATTTGTTAAAAAATTTCTCAAATCCAGGTTACTATAACCAGAAAAATATCTTTCAGGAATGAGAATAAAATAAAAATATTCTCAGATAGAGGAAAACTAAGAAATTCATTGACAGAAGATTTTTTTTTAATCACTAAAGGAAGTTCTCTAGCCAAAAAAAAACAAAAAACAACCCACAGGATATCAGGAATAAAAGAATAAGAAAAGTGGTAAATACCTGAATAAATATTACAGACTTTTCTTCTTGATTTCTTAAAATGTGCTCAACAGGTAGAAAGAAAAATGGTAATTTTCTAATGAGTTTTCAAACTGAAAGAGATTCAACATTTAAGTACAAGAAAGAGGGAAAGGCACACAGATCCCTACGGTGATAATATTTCTACATTCCTACTTGAAGTTGAATGTTACAACACTGACTCTTTGTAACTGTGAAAAGTTAAAGATGATTTTGGTAATTGCTAGAACCACCACACACACACACAAAGTACAAAGCTATATAATAAAAAAATTCATGAGAAAAAATTTAATGGATAGTAAAAAGTGTTTTGTTTTTGGTATGATAGAAAAAAGAGAAACAAAAAACAGAATCCAGTAAAATGACAGTCTGAAATCCAAACATATCAATAATTATTTAAATATAAATTACTTAAATACAACATTTAGTAGACAGATTGTAAGAAAGAATTTCAAAAGCACTCAACTGGATGCTTTCTCAACGAACTCTCCTATAAAAAGTAAAAGGATGGAAATAAATATTAAATGTAACATAAATGATAACAAAGCTGGAACATCAACAGTAATGCCAGACAACACAGACTACAAAGAAAATTACACATGAATGAATAAAGAGGAAAATCACATAATAATAATTAAGTTTCAATTCACCAAGAAAACATAATCATCCCAAATGTCTATGCTTCAATCACAAATACTTCAAAATTAAGGAAACATTGATAGAACTGAAAAGAGAAAGACAATTTCACAATTGTAATTGGAGACTTCAACAATCCTTTTTCAGTAATAAATTGTAGTAAAGAGAAAATCAGCAAGAATATAAAATAATGGAATGACATCAACTAAGTGAATCATATTGATATGAATCATATTGACATTTATAGTAAAACTCTACTCAACAGCAGAAAAAATCCTCTTTTTTAAAAAAGATTTTATTTATGTAGTTTTAGAGACAGGGAGATAAACATTGACATAAGAAACATCGATTGTTCGCCTCTCTAACACACCCAGATTGGGAACAGAACCTGCAACCCAGGCATGTGCCCTGACCGAGAATTGAGCCAGTGACCCCTTGCTTTATGGGACAACACCCAACCAACTAAGCCCCACTGGTCAGGACTAAAACCCTCTTTTCAAGTGTATAAGGAAATTTTTCCAAATTAATGCATACCATTAACCTGAATCATAAAACAAACCACAACATAAAATAAATGAGATCATACAAGGTATGCTCTTTGCCAATACTACAATTAAACTAGATATCATTAACAGAACAGGGCAATTTCCAAATACTTGAAAATTAAACAACTTGCTTTTAAATGATTCATGCATAAAAAGAAAAAGACAAGAGAAATTAGAAAAATTTTTGAACTGAACAAAAATGAAAACAATATCAAAATTTCCAGGTTATAACTAATACAAGTAGTTATAGGGAAATTTAGAGCTTTTTATATTAGAGAACAAGAAAGGTCTCAAGTTAATAATTTAAACTTCTACCTTAAGAAGCTAGAAAAAGAAGAGCAAAATAACCCCACAGGTAGCAGAAGAAAATAATAGGAAGAGCAAAAGTAAGTAAAACTGAAAATTTAAAAATAGTGAAATCAATGCAAGATACAGTTGATTTATAGCTGGAATGGAAAAACTCTATCTTAATCTCTGAACATGCCTGGATCTGATTTTTG